CAGAGGTCGTGGTCTCGGACGACGTGCGGTCGAGGAGCACGACGCAAGCGAGCAGGCCGTGTTGGCGTGTCTCAGGTTATGGGCTGAGCCGACGAGTCGCAAGTCGGAGGTCGAACTGGAGCGACTCGGGCTATGAGCCAAGCCGGCGAGTCGCAAGTTGGAGGTCGAACTGGAGCGACTCGGGCTATGAGCCGAGGAGCATGACACGGGCGGGTAGACCGCGTGGGCGTGTCTCAGTCGACACGCAGCCGAGGAGCACAACTCCGTCGGGCAAGCTAACCAGAGGTGGTCTCGGGCAACACGTTGCCGAGGAATATGACGCGGGCGGGCAGGCCGCGTAGGCGTGTCTCGGGTTATGGGCCGAGCCGGCGAGTCGCAAGTCGGAGATCGAACTGGAGCGACTCAGGCTATGAGCCAAGCTGGCGAGTCGCAAGTCGGAGGTCGAACTGGAGCGACTCGGGCTATGAGCCGAGGAGCACGACACAGGCGGGCAGGCCGCGTGGGGTGAACTCGGCGGTGTGGCTGAGGGACACTGCTCAGGCGGGCAGACCGCGCTGAGGTGAACTCGGCAGCGTATGGCCGAGAAGCTTGGCGTAGGCGAGCTACGGCCGAGGGACGTGACCCAGATGGGCAGTGCATGGTCGAGGAGCTCGGCGCAAGCAGGCTGGCCGCGCAGGCGTGGTCACGAGGGTCATGCGGCTGAGGTGTTCGGCGCAGGCAGACTGTGGCCGCACGGACGCCGCTCAGGAGGGCAGGCCACGCTGAGGTGGGCTCGGCGGTGTGGCCGAGGGACGTGACCCAAGTGGGCAAGCCGCCCTGAGATGGACTCGGCAGTGCATGGCTGAGGAGCTCGGCGCAGGTAGGTGTGGGCCAAGAGGCGGTCAGGTAAACATGGAGCCTTCGCTTGGAAGAGACTGAGGCAGGGCGGGCCCGAGCGGGCGGCTCTCGTTGCCGCGGTGGTCGGGTCGTAGGGGGGTGCACCGAGCGAGATAATGGTTCGCACTATTCCCGTCAGCGCTCGGACTTGTTGAGCGAGGTCCTGGAAGGCCTTGAGCGACACGTGCGAGGGGTCACTGGGGGTGCGCTCGGGCGGAAGCAGACCCGGGTCGTTGGACAGACACCAGTAGCGTTCTGCGGTCGCGACGGGGTGTTCGTCTCGAAGATCTCCATGCGGGGGACTTTCCCCCGGAGCTCCGATCAGGTGTGACCCCTCAACTGTGAGCTCGTCTGAGCCAGTTGGATGATCCCTCGACTTTCGGGGCCCTCCTTCTAGCGCCAAAATGATGCGGCGGGGCATCTGTTTAAGCCGTGGCCTCGGGGTCGTCGCGGCTCGGTTCGGGGGTCCGAATGTCGGGGATCTCGGGTGGTGCTAGACCTTCAAGGGGCCTTCAAGGGGCTAGCCGCACATTACTTATAGACAAAATCCCGCCAAAAACAGCGACCCTTCCTCTACTCAGGCATGTCGCATCGGGATGACACAACGTCATTCCGCCATAAATGCAACTTGGCAGGGTAGCCAACAGGAGCGCTACGCGTGGCAAACAACGGGCTTGAAGCGCCGGTCTTCTCAAAAACTGGCGATTCACGAAAAGGTTCGTCCCCTGGACTTCCGAATAGACCAAAGGCTACTTGGCCACCCGCATCTCCCACAGCACAGCGTAAAAGATCCAATCGAAGTAGCTCCTCGGTTGCAGCAGCCTACGTCATGCTCCTCGGCCTCATGTCGCCCGAGACCACGCCTGCGCGGCCTGCTCGCCCGAGTCCAGCTCCTCGGCCGCAGCCGCCTGCGTCGTGCTCCTCGGCCTCATGTCGCTCGAGACCATGCCCGCACGGCCAGCTCGCCCGAGTCCAGCTCCTCGGCCGCAGCCGCCTGCGTCGTGCTCCTCGGCCTCATGTCGCCCGAAGACCACGCCTGCGCGGCCTGCTCGCTCGAGTCCAGCTCCTCGGTCGCAGCCGCCTGTGTCGCGCTCCTTGGCCTCAGGTTGCCCGAGACCACGCCTGCGCGGTCTGCTCGCTCGAGTCCAGCTCCTCGGCCACAGCCGCCTGCGTCGTGCTCCTCAGTCTCATATCGCCCGAGACCACACCTGCGCGGCCTGCTCGCCCGAGTCCAGCTCCTCGACTGCAATCGCTTGCGTCGTGCTTCTCGGTCCCATCCCTCCCACGGACCACACCCGTGCAGCCGGCTCTCATGTGCCCAAAGGCCCCCCTCGCGCGGCCCCGGAGAGATCCCCGACATCTGGACCTGAACCGAGCCGCGTCGGCCCCGAGGCCACGGCTCTCAAAGTTGTTTCCCACAACATCAACGATATCTTTATATAATATTAATTATTAAAAAAATTAAATCTACTATCGTTAAGTTCTAGAATGACGATCGATATGAACGATTAAGAAGGGCTGATCGATGAAGAGAACTCCAAATAAAGGTCGTAATCACATCATTTCGTTCACAAGATGTCCTCATGCTGCCGTCCGTCCCACGTGCCTGCCGAACAACATCTACCGCACACAACGTTCGCTCGGGCCCAACTGCACCCACGGGGGGCATGCACGCTTCCCTTGTAA